AAAAAAAAGAACATCAAAAGTTTCATGTGACACTGGATTGCACAACATTACAGGAAAGTCACGTGATACTTTATCAATCAGTGATGTGACAGAATGTAATAGAAACTCACTCTAGCTAAGAAGGCAAATAACTAATTGCCCAATTCTAATTCCGTGATAAGATTCAAAGAGTGAAAAAACAATATGAAGAAAGAGCAACTGTCTTTTTTATTTAGGTTTTTTTCTCTTGAAGTTTGATCTATTCTTTGTGCACTGAGAAATGCTTAGAATTTACTGTTGAGTGCTCTGTGAACCCCAAATCAGCTTTTTTAAAGGAAAATATAGTTGTTTTATGGTTTATTTTTGACATATCTCCCCAAGTCTCCCATGTTTGGAGAGTGACTGGGCCGAGTGCTATATTGATCAATGGATTCATCCATTGATAAATTTACTTGGTGAAATGTGCTGTTAGGAGACGGGCCCTGGACGGAATTGGGTCTCTGAGGTGTGACAGGGAAGTGTATATTCTTGCCTCCCGGCTTCTCTCTCTCTCTGTCTCTACTTCCTGACTACTATGGGTTGTGCCTCTGTTCCTCCACCATGCCCTTCTGCCTTCCTTTTGTGATCATGCACTGAAACCGCATAAGCCTTTCCTCCCTTAAGTTTGAAGAGTGAGGTATTTTGTCCCATTGACAGAAAAGTGGTTAAGACAGCTATGATTGCCAAACTTCACAAACACTACAAATGGAAAAACGTTATAGTATAGTTCTGCTTTCAAGTACTTGAATGAAATTTCTAAAGGCTATATCTATAAGAAGAATTTTACAGTATTTCGTCTTTACCTTGCTTCATTTAGCATATGGACAATTGAAAGTTTTGTTAATAAGACCTAAAGACTTATTAAAAAGAAGATAAAGTGTTCCAACTAATTTTCCCCAGACTAGTTTAATCCAGCCTTTCAGCATTTCTGACCAGTGTTGTAGCCACTTAAGTTTCCTACTTGAATGAGAATTCTTTTATTCACTAAATCTTCATACTGAAAAAAAAAAAAAAGATTAGTACTTACAAAACACCATCCAATTCTAATCTTTCGGTATCCATAAAAGGCCACTGAATAACTTTTCTCTCTCCTACTGGGGTCCTGTGGACAGTAGGAGAGGATGCTAAAAAATGCGGGAAAGTATGAATTATAGGAAAAAATATGTAGCCTTTTTGTGGGTCCTAGATTCCATTAGCGGTAAGGAGTCATCTTAGTGCATGTGGGATGTTACATAAAATACCATCACCTGGGTACCTCATAAGCAGCATAAATTTATTTTTTGAGTTCTGAAGGGTAGAGAGTCTAAGATCAAGTTGCTGTCAGATATGGTACCAGGCAGGTGTTGCTACTTTGTTTTTAGATGGTCATTTTTTCACTGTGTCCTAAACAGGAGGCTCTTTACAAAGGCACTATCCCATTGATGAGGCCTCCACTCTCATGACCTCATCAGGTCTAGACATAAATACACTGACCACTACTCTTCAGCATATGAATTTTGAGGGGAAATATTCAACCCATAGTATTAGTTTAAAACATTTATTAAAATGTTAAAATGTGAAGAAGATATAAAAATTCTAAACAACCCAATTACAATCAGTGAAATTGAAAACGTAATTAAAAATTAACCAGCAAAGTGAAGTCCAGGTCCTGATGTCTTCACTACTTAATTCTACAAGACATTTAGAGAAGGATTATTGCCACTACTATTTAAACTTTTCAATTAAATTGAAAGAAAAATAATACATCCGAATTTATTCCTGGAAGTAAGTGTTACTTTGATTCCAAAACAGGGGAAAGATCCAACCAAAAAAGAGAATTACAGGCCAATCTCCCTAATGAACATAGATGTAGAAATCCTCAATAAGATACTGGCAAACAGAATACAGAGGGTCATTAAGAAAATCATATACTTTGACCACGTCAGATTTATGCCAGGGAAGCAAGGATGGTTCAACATATGTAAATCAATAAATGGAATACACTGTAGTAACAGAATGAAGAACAAAAACCATACGATCATCTCAATAGATGGAGAAAAGTACTTTTTCTTTCCTTCACCAAATTCTTATCCCTTCCTCTGGTAACGTAACTTCCCTTGCTTCGTTCCTTCCTTCGTTCCTTCCTTCGTTCCTTCCTTCGTTCCTTCCTTCCTTCCTTCCTTCCTTCCTTCCTTCAGCAAATATTTGATGAACTCTACTCTGCCAGGTGTTTTATGAAGTCTTGAGCATGTAGAGATAAAGGGACTTTTCAGGTGGCAGTGAGAGCAAGTAGGGTCATACAAGATCATTGGTAAATAGTGGCAGATATTGCTTGACACACACTTATCACCTTGGTTAATATTTTCCACATATTTTTCTATTTAAACTTTATATCATATCTGAGAATAAGTTTTGTTAGTCTTTAAACTTGCATCAGTGTCACACAATAATTGTGTCTCGTCTTCATGGTACACGATAAGTGACTTAACCAGAATTAAATTATAAGCCTATTTGATTTTGATTTATGCTTTTTTTTTTCCTATGCAGTACAGTGGATAGGACCTAGGGCTTTTGAACTGAGCTAAACACCAAGACTGCATCTCATACTCTTTTTCAGCTATTTTTTTTTAATAGAGTTTCCCTAAATCACTAAGTTGCCAGGGTTAGGCTTCAACTTGCAATACTCCTTCCTCCATCTCCAGAGTACTGGAATTATAGGCATGCACTTCACTTGGTTTGAGTTAGACTTTAACTTAACACTTTCCGCCCAGTTTGATAAATTATCTTTCAGATCCAACCTGAATATCCAATCCTACCTTGCTTTCCTTGAAAATTCTGCTCTTACCATTTAATTACATTCTCTGTATTCTGTGTTCCTGTATTTTTTGCTAGCATGCACTTATATTTGCTTCCTGTTACACTCAAATGAGAAGCCCCCAAAGCAGATTCCATCTTTGGCCCTTAGAGAGGCTCTGCAGAATGTGGTAGAAGAGGGCAGCCCTCATGGTGGATCAGCACATAGAAGCTTTGCTGAGATCACACTTAGCTGTGTACAGGCCCGAAGGCTGTGTTGTTTTACCTGGGAAGAGTTGAAAAGTCTGCCAGATTTGGAAATGAGTTTATCTTAAATCCCAATTTCCCTATGTCTTTTATAAACAGGAAGATTTGAGATTATTCATTGGTCAAACATTTCTTTCTGATGACACCTGGCTGGAGCAAGTGGCTACCATCATCCTCACCGGCCTGCATTGAAGCTCCCAGTATTACCATTGCTTCTGGTTCACCACTCATGAAAACACTGGCCCTACAACTTCCAACCTTTCTGCTGTCTCTTCTCAAGTCTCTGAATATCTACATATCCTTGTAATGGTTACTGTCTATACAATAATTTTCAAGAGAAAAATAACTGCAAGTAAAATTCAAAGCTATCAAAATGTTGTCAATAAACACATAAAACTGTGGTCTATTCATTGGAAACTGCTATACCTATATAATTTAAGAAGACTGATATGTGTAGAGTGCCTAAATTACTACCCAGATATTAAAATGTATGCTAGATGGTCTCACCAATGTAATGGCATATATAATTTCTCATCACAAAAATGTAGATTGTTCAAGTCCATTTATAACTGATTCATAGCTTTTTCATTGCTATTTTACCTTGCACATGAAATGTACAAACAGTAGTATAGTGTTTATAGTGATTGTAATTACAGAAAAATATTAATTTGAGAAAGAGGATAGAGTTGGGTGTCAAGTTTTTTCGCATATCGTGGACACTTTATGCAAATGCATGCTAAACAAACATACTTTGTAAATTTTATAAGAACTGTTTACTTGACAAATTTTATAGTTGTGAGTTGCTAACAATGTAAGTGCACTGTAAGCAAAAAGTGGGTGCTGCTTAGGTTGGTATTTTGATATAATAAGTACAAATCATTTTTATATCTCCTGTGAGGCAGGGCTTCTAGACAGTAGCTATTCAAGTTGCAATATTTATTTGAAAACAATGTAATAGTGTTCTTGTGAAGTGTATTGTTTCACTCTGATTTTTCATCGTCTCAGCCAGTTCTCTCCCCTGAGTCAATTGACTCCACTTAGTGCAAAAAGTATGACATTTTAGTACATCTACTGCCGAAGTGAGCACAAGGAGGATGATTTAATAGTAAATCCCTGTTAGTCATGTAAAACATCCATAAATATAGCTATTGCATTTTGTAGAATGCTTTAGTAACTTGAGTGTTGACAGAATCCAATACCTCAAGATACATAGGAGTACAAATGAATGCCTTACCTCAATTGATAATCATTCATAAGACAAAGCATATACAATAACCTCAAACACAATTAAAATTTATAATAAAATCATTTCCTACCTGGGTGACTTTCTCTGTCACATTGTGGGTTCGATCTTTAACTTTGGGTGCAATAATAGTTTTATCTGAAGAAGGAGGGGATGTATTCTTTTTTTCAGTTTTGACATCTGAAAAATTCAGAGTGAGCTGTGGAATCTTGTTAATGGTGCTGTATTTGTTGAGGTTTGAATCCGATGTGGATCCCAGGAGGCTTGACTTGATGTGATTAAAAGGTCCTAAAAAAATTGGAAAGTACTGGTAAAAATAGTATTGAAAGAAAATTTTTTAAAAGAAGTTGTTCCAAGTTCCTTGCTAATGATCCATGTCCAATGTGGCCCTGATTCATTTGTAACTAAATATATCCAGGTGATACCTAAACATAGTACTTAGAGTCACCTTCTGCCACATGGAGGGTCATGGGACTATCAGGATAAGACTGGGTGCTAGGTATACACCCAGAGGGCAAGTAACATCTTAAATCTATAGTTGGCTTTTTTCGCTAACGGCTGCTGGGAAAAAAAAACAAAAAACAAAAAACAAAAAACAAACAAAAAAACAACCTCTACTCCCTGTTATTGGTCAAATTCTACCTTCAAAATTTTTCATGAATTTTGTTTTATAATCTGGGGATTGCTCAAGGAAAAACGTGCCTATGGTTCCAATCATGTTGGTCATGAAATTTATGAATGGGTCATGCATTTATGAAGTTTACCCTGTAACAACTTGACTTACTCTCTTTGTGTGTCACTGAGAAGTATCAGCCCTTGGGTTCTTCACATGCTTCCATACCTGTATGAAATACCCCACAAAGAGCCTAGAAGTTTTAACCCAGGTGAAACTGAGCACAAACGCTCATTTGTGTGAGTGTATGCATATGCGCTCATGTGTGTGTGTGTGCGTGTGTGTGTGTGTGTGTGTGTGTGTATGTGTGTGTACTCTATTAGAAACTACAAAATCCTGTGTGGGATTTTAAAATCTTTCTTTCCACTTTTTCTCTCATTTAGATTTAAGAGCAAACATTTTCCAAGAAGCAACAAAAGCCACTGTAAAAACCATATAAGAATAAAGCTCTAGCAAATAGAGCTTATATTAGGAGCGAACATAGCTAGGTAGCAGAACATGGTTGGGGTTGATAATTTTCAGCCATGTCTTACATTCTGTTCCCACACAAGTCATTTGGCAAGGTGCTGGCTCTTTTTTCCTTTGTTGTGAGTGAGTAGTCTGACCATCAACATCCAAATCTTATCTGTTGCTTACAGAGAGTCAAAATGCTTCAAACTTTCTGGTTCGGTGGGTATATTACTCATATAATAACTTGGCAGTTAAAAGTTAATATCAGGAAGAATTTTATACAAATCCTGGGTCCAGTTGTGCGTATGTCATCCTTGCTTGCCTCAGAGTGGTTGAAACATACAAATTTCATGCATGAACTTCTACATGGCATATTTTGCTTTATGTTGTTTTATGCCTTGTTCTGACTCAAATACATTTTAGGGATCAAAAGGTACTTCAGGCATCAAGCAAAGCACAAATACTTAAAATTAGTCTTGTAGGTTTCATATTTTGGATCAATCAACTCAAGTCAAACAGTGCTACGAACATAATACTGTACTCATCATTTTGTTCCCAGTTATTGTGGGGAAAATTACACCATATTTGCATATAAATGTTTATGCATATTTATTATAAAACTTTGAAGTAATTTTAAGAAAATTTTGTGTATTTAACAAACATTATATCTATTTAATTGCATTTCTTTTCACTCCCGTGATGATAACAAGACTATCTTGGTGAAAATATCATTGAGTTCCCTTATTATTTATTGCTCCTAGTATGCTCATTTGTACATAGAGATCAGAGTAACACCAAGATAGACAGACCTTTCTTCAAATAGGTCTCTGACTGACGGTTTATTCTCCAGACCCTCATAGAAATCTTCACATCACACATATTTCTTATTATAGCATGTTCCAGATAGTTTTCTCTTGTTTTGATCATTCTATGCCTATATTTAGGCACATATTTTAACATTTTGTATTTTTTAAATATGCTAGAACTTTACACTAATTATTTATTGTCTTTTTCCCAATTCGAGCACATTTTAATGCTTTATGTAATTTAACTGTACCCAGAGATATAGGTAAGATGTAGAATTCAGGTATACAGTTAAATTGTATTAAAACCCTCCAAATTCATGTTTCAGTTCTCTTTCTATATCATCCTTGTTTATGTTGAATTTCAGTAGCAAATTGTATACAAAGATATTTTGAGTAAAACATAGATCATCTATGATGTTAATAGGCAGAAAAGCACTGTTAATATACTTTGCTTGCCCTTGTTACCGATTCCAACAAACTGTATTTGCTACACTTATGACCACATGATCTCCACCACGTCAGCACTTCACCTGTGGGAACATTTATGAGGGCATTTTGGTTCTCATAAAGCTGGAAGAATTTGAGTATCAATCACAATCTTAATAAATTCTTTCAAGGTCCCAAGGGACATTCCTGGAGATAAAAAGCTTGTTTGTAATGATCTGAGTCTTGAACTAGTTTCAAATAAAATAAGGCAATGTGTTTTTACATGGTTTTAATATAAATTAAAATTTTCAGAACTACCACTGCTACGAGGAGGGAAGGTAAATATTGCTTTGTTCACAGTTTTATTAAAAGTTGTTTGTTATTTTTGGAAAATTGTGATACTGAGAGCTACTTTGGGGTATGTTGGTGTGGAGTGACCAAGACAAAATTCTAGAGTTCAAGTCACAGGCTGTATTGTATTTCTGATTTGAAAATACCGAAACTAAGACTTGGTTCATTTTTTTGCCAGTTTTGGGCCAACTATTATTAAATTTGCAGATAATTGCAAATTTAAATGATGAATAGTATTTATTTTAAAATATGTTTTCATTAGTCTATGTATGTGCAATGATGTATGAAGTGTAAATCTGTGTGCTACACAACTAAACATCTAAAATTCTTTGTCTCGGGATCACCTGTTGGTATTCAGTCTCATTCTAATAACTCTCTGGAGATCTGTCAATATTTTTTTGTAATGTCTTGATGGTCATTTACTTCTTTGATTCATTTTCTATGTTTCATTATTTAAGAAAGCATACAGTTTGCAAACTATTTTTAAAAAATATGAAGATAAATTTATACTCCAATATCTAATGGTAATTTGTTCTTCTGTGCAATTAATGTTATTGTATTTTATCACACAGAAATGTTTTGACAGGATACTTAAAATTAAAGGTCAGGTTGCTTGTAAGAACCTGATACTTCCTAATTTCACCCTAGTTTTTCTTGCTATATAATTATTTTGATTATTTTCCACTTTTAAAATTCATATATGTCCAATATTTTATTATTCATTCAAAATACCAGTTTTTATTTTACTATATACCCATATTTTTTCTGCTTTATCGTTTTATCAGTTTGCATATTGAATGTTTTCTCCTGTCTTAATAATTTTAAGGCATGATATTTTTCATATGTATGATTATTGCATTATGTCTTCTAGTGTATTTATAGCTGAACACTAGCATTTTGAAAGAACTATCATTTGATTATTAATTGCTTTCCTTTTTATTTCTCCTTTATATTACACTTAGGAACTTGTGTTGGTCTTTTACATAGAGGTTAAATTATCTCTGATTTTCATTGTATGAAAATAAAGTAAGTATAATGAGATATATGTTGAAATAAGAAAATATCATGTCTGATATAGATGAGAAACTCTGAAGAAAAATCATATATTTTTTCAGAGTTTAAAACTTCATTTATCCACTATTTTAGGTTTTCATATTTGCTGTTGGAAAAATCTTCAAAATAGTTTCGCCAATCTATTTTCTTTTAAATTCTTAGTCTTAGAGAGCTAGCTTGATATCTAGTCTTAGACATATCTAGTCTTAGAGAGAATCTAAATATTTTGAAGTTGATTAATAATTTCAGCATAATTTAATATATTACTTAAGTTAACTAATGCATGCTACTTAGATTAGGAACTGAAATTTATTGCATCTTGTGAAATAAAGATAATTATGCTTCACTTGATCTTGAACAAGATTTTCATGTGTAAAAGTCTTCTAGGGTCTTCAAGATGATTGATGTTTGCTTAAGTTTTTCTAAAAACCTTATTTAAATTCCAATAAAAATGTTAATTGCTTTATGGTGGGAATGGACAATATCCTTATTTTGCCAATTCTAAACTTGAACTGACAGAATATGATGTCAAATGGACCTAAGAAGCAAGGACTATATCAGAATACAGGCTTTCCTACCTCCTAGGCCTATATTCAGAGAGGCCTTTGTGAGAATTTAAAGGTGAAAGTCAGCCTCACTGAAGAGGGATAACAAATAGAAGGAATTTAGGTTTCTAATGAAAGCAAGGAGAATAGCCTGAAAAACAAAGTAAATGAATTTAAAGAAATTGAATGGGCAGAAGAAAGAGAAATAATAGATTCAATGGAAAGAAAGGTAAAACTCAAAAGTATACAGTAGGACTAAATGTTCTTTAGAGTAACATTTGCAAGCTAGATAACTACATTAACTTATTTAATATATTAGAAGAAGAGGGAAAACCATGACCAAGTAAACTAAACCAATATTTGGATAAAGTTTTAATATGTTCCAAGTATCTAATTAAATATACAGCAGGACAATTTATAGCTACAAAAAATTACTCTACATTTAGGGATCAAGCTAGAGGCTAAAATCAGAACTGGAAAAAATTTTAGGTTAAAATTTTACATTATCATGATATTTAAAAATGAGTTATGAAACATTAAAGAAGAATTTATTCACTTTTAGACTCTGCTAGAAGTATAGATAGGTACATCGTGTATATATATTATTTTAAAAAGCTATTCTTGAGGGCAAAATGAAACGGAAGAGGAAAAACAGATTAAACTTATTTTTGAATCATGTCTATGTGAAATATTTCTTAGGACCTTGAGCTTACTTGATAGAACTTAAATTTCTTAACATTGAAGAAAACATTTAGTAATTGAGCCTCGTATAAGAACTCTTGTCAATAAATATAAGGCAGTAAGTTTAGCCTGTAAAGACAAGTATTAGAAAAAAATCATAAGATTACATTTATTCAGAATCCACAATTTCTGTTTGACTAGATGACATGTAATTTGCAGAAGAAAACTGTCATCATTGAAAAATAAATTTGGAAATCCTGATAAGATCACACAAAATTCTGGGTAATGGCCAATGTAACTTCTGTGAAACAAGTTGTATCAAATTGATTTATTTCCCTTATGAGTCTGATAGGTTTCCTGGCTAGCATGCAGGTGAAAACTGTAATAAATCTTCACAGTAGTTTAGTTTCTGACTCACATGACAGATTCATACATAGTTGGAAACTAAAAACATCAATATTAGAAAAATGCAGGGCTTCTTAAAAAAATAAGGAAAAGGACATAATAGAGGGACAAAAATTTATCTATGATATTTATTAGAATAAATGGAGTAAACTTTGTATTGATTTGAAAGGCAGACCAGAGGAGCAGCCACTATGATTGAGGTTAAAATAGTTTGTGAATGTTTGAGGTAAGATTAAATACTCCTCTCACATGCTAAAGAAATTATAATATGTACATTTACATATATTGAGTGTGCAGTTTATTTGAAGTAGCATTTTCACTCCTTGATAATAGGTTATACTTTCTAAAAAAAGACTCAGGTTAAGAAGCTAGAAAATGAAATAAATTTATTAAATAAAAAATAGATTGCAAGAAGAAGATGAAGTCGAAATTATTTTATTTTGGAAGAAAAGTACCAATTTGCTGTGTTTATATTGTAATACTACGTTAACGATTAGCATAGTCAGAGATATTGCATCACTATCTCCGCCTGGTGATAGGTGAGAGAAAAGAAGAGTATATTTCAGCAGGAGGGATTTAGGCTGGCTGTTTGTGCAATAGGAACTAAAATGGACTTCCCAAGACAGTTAAAGAATGGCCTCTTCTGGAGACAAAGATGCTGGTACGACTTGTGCAAAGGAATCAGCCAACACCTCACCTAAAGGGAAAAAACCAGATGATGTTGAAGACCTTCCAAATGTATTCCTAAAGCACTTATTTTGTTTTGTAATAAAATTATTTTTGGTCGAATTAATTATTGAAATCATTAATTGTAATTATGCATTTTGTATACAAAGCAGTTTAGAAATGTTTTTTATTTTGTAATTTAAAAAATTTAAATCTGTCTTAGAAACAAAGTCAAAATATTTAAAAGCTCAATGCATTATTCCTCATCCTATATATTAATTGTCCTGTGAAAATATTAAAGGAAGGAACTTAAATATTGTTTAATAGCTCTCAAAACTAGAGCATGAAGGAATAATGAAAATTTGGGGAGTGTATATTAACATTAGAATTTATTAAGTTTGCAAATATTTCCTCCAATTTAGGGGTTTAACTTTATAATTATTTACATGTTAAAATTTTCTGTAATGGTTTAGAGAATATTAATCCCAAGTTCTGAAACATATTCCAAATTGTTATTGAATTGAAATCTAGATTTATAAAAATGTTTTTATTCAGGCTATTGCTATTGCAAGGTAGTAGAAGGTAATTGAAGATGAAGAGTTCATTTGATGAATTAGTTTATAAAATTAAAAACAAAATGACAAGTTTGTCAGATAGGTGAACTATTAATTTCTACCATGAGTCAGTCTAATTTTGTGTTTATTGAGAAAAAATATTCATTCTACTTAGAAAAACACTGGAAAACTAATATCTACCAATTTCCTGCTAATTGTTAGATACTAAGCCTGTCATATTTCACACAGGCAAGTTGGCAAGAGCTAGACAGCTCTTTCTTGAGGTTACATTCTCAACTGTGTAACTAAAATCATCACCCATAACTGACACTAATTTGTTCCCTTTTAGAAATTACATTGGACAGGACAAGGACAGAATAATTATGTTTAATAGATAAAATCCCATCCCACTATTAGAGATAACCTCCAAAGGGCTTTATTGAAGTGCTTACAAAATAAAGTTTGGAGGGCTAAGGGGAAATTGCTTAAAACAATTGCTTAAAAATAATTCCATTATTTTTAAATTATCCTGGGCTGCTGACTAGAAAACATTCTTGGTTTTCAATGCTATTAATTCATAATCAACACCAGCTTTAACTCCTTTTTTTTTTCTTCTTTTTTTTAAAATTGAGTTTATTGGTACATTTTAGGTATACAGTACAGTTACATTCATCATTAGGATCTTGTACCTTTACCTGACAGGTCTTGGTTCTCATTTCTTCCCCATACCCCTCCCTTCTTCTCCTCCACCCTCCCCTATTTACAAATATTTGTTTCCATTTTTTCCTTTTCTCATTTTTTTCTTTTCCCTTCTTTCCTTTCCCCTACCCTTCCCACTTCCCCTATACTTTGAACCAGCATTGACTTCTTTAAGGAAGCAATTGAGAAATCATAACATAAAACTGCACAGTGGTTAGAGTACCAATGATATATAGAAGTGGTCAGTACAGTGAATTCTAAGTAACGATGGTTACTAGTGGAGACGTGTTCATGCAACACACATGCACAAAATAAGTCACTGTCACCATTTACACATCCACTTCAGCATGCATGGCCTCAATCAAAAGACCAAACCAGGAGTTTTCAATTTGAAAAGAATAATATGGTTTTCATGTTCTACTCTGATATAGTAGAAAACAGAAATGAATCTTAAATTTTTAGCCAAATCCAATTTAATCAGAGTGTTGTCCAATTAAACATTATCCTATGGTAGTTGGAGGTCAAGCCATTGATTTCAGAATAATAAAGAATATGATTAAAAATGATTAAATGACTTTCATGCATGTACAGTATACTACTACAGTAAGCTTAAAACCATACCCCCTGCCATCCAGGAACGTGAAACTAGTTTTAAGGAAACAAAAGAGGAACAAATGAAGTGATGCTGTCATATAGCACTTTTTCATTTTTTAATTAGTCATTATTTTAAAAATTTCCCCTGAAATAGGCTTATGTGCTTCTTTCACACTGAAATATATTTAGCTTGATATTTTTTTCCAAATGATTTAAATATTTATGAAATGCTCATTGTCAACCTATGGTTTCGCTCCTTGCAGGAAAAAGGTGTTCGTAATTATTTTGATGGCACAGCCGAGAAAGTAACAATGTCTCCAGCAAAATCAAGCCGCGATGTGTCCACCAGGCACCTGGACTAGCTAAGGGCAGCATGGAGATGTTGCACTGAACAGGGCAGACAGCAGGCAAGTTAACATGCCGAGTAAAGGGGCACTGGAAGCGTCAGAGGGTGAGATTTGACTTTGTACGTTACCTTTGACATTGCGACCATTGTCTGTTTTGAGCATATAAGGACAAAAAAGAGAGAAACATAAAAAGTAGACTAAAATTATCTTACATACACTGAATTAGCTTTGATAAAACAATTGGAGAAAATGGGATGTGGTGACTGAAAATGTATCCTTGACTGAAATTAACATTGTACAGTATTCAACCAACAAAATGTACTTCATACTAGAAATATCTGCTATAATTAACATTCTTGGTTAAGTAGGGGGAATATTTATTTCAATTGATTCCAAGGCGCAGATTTTACAATTCTGACAGTTTGGAGAAAGACCTCCACTGTGCCTGCAGTTGTGATAATTTTCAACCTTGTCAGATGTCAATTTTGGTTTCCCCTCAAGAATCACTTAGAATCACTTACACAAGAAGATCATATATTTGGCATGTTAAGAGTTTTTTGTATAATGTAACCTAGTGTGTTAACAAGGAAAAGGGTCTCTAAGTAGTTTAATAAACCAATGTAGGTTAATTATAACTTTATTAATTGTCCTCTACTCTCAAATGTTTTTTAATGTGCATTTTTAAAATAACTATAACCAAAAGAGTCAATAATAGTGACAATAATAGTGACAATAATTGACAATAATAGTGACAAAAACGCAGTGAATTTGACCATATGAAGAGAATGTATGTATCTTTTATTGTAAGGATTTTTTATATTAAAATAGATTATTTTCACATCTTAGAGTGGAGTGCTTTAGGATTTATTTTGAGATCAGCAATCTATATTTTGAATATATGTTGCTAGCAAAATATATATTACTATCTTTGAAGCACATAAGCTCAAAATGAAGTCATATCAAACCATTCAAATATATCCAAGATTTGAAAAAACTGTTTAACATTTAGTGGACAAATATATTATCACTATGCATGTTTAAAATTCTAAAATATATCATAATTATTTCAAAGCTTACTTTTGCAGTAATTCCAATACTGTGGCATATTGAATTACTAGAGTATACTTTGTATGGATAGAGATACCTACATAAAATGTTGCTTTTGATGACAACTTTTTTCCCTCTTTGAGGGAATCACAAAAAGTGAATTGGGATAGAAGAAAAGATTTTGATTGCACAAAAATAATTTCTCTATCTATAAGTTCTCTTGGTCTAAAAATCATTAATAAAATAACTTCCTGCAAGCAGTTAAAATTATAAATATCTTCAACAAACCTAGAAATTATAAGCGTTTCAAATGCTCAGAAAATTAACAAAATGTTGATGCAGATTTGATGTTTCAAGGCATAGTGACAGGGCTGTGCATAATCTAAAATCTGCTTATTGTTCCTTCATGGCAATGTAAGTGCAGATATTAAGTAGTCAGAATCTTTTATAGAAATTTCATAGACTAATTTTATAACTTTAACTCTAATGATAAAACAACTGAGATTTGTATTTTGTATATCTGTTGTTTAATTTTGTTTTCCTAATAATGAATTTTCATTGAATTTACAAACGGTAGGCTAGAAAAAAATATTCAGGTCCTTCACCAAGATGGTTTGAGTACAGACAGAGGGTGCTTGGATAGATGAGAAGATTATATAAACATGTGCTAATAATGTATTTGCAGAACATTTAAAGTTCTGTGATGATAGCCTATATTGGTAAAATGAAACAATCTGAACACAAAATTGGTGCATGTAGAAATTAACCCGTTAGCTCCATTTAATGGATTCATAAAGTTTAAACCAATTGTATGGTTTCTCCATATATTTTTAATCAATACTTCAGTTTTAAAAATTTATAAAATTATGTTACCATAGAAGATATAGTTTCTTCTATGTCTATGATTTTTATAACTTAAATTTTGGGAAAACCAAAGTACAAGATGCCCTCTAAATTTGATAATCTGTAGTCACATGGTGACTGCTGCATCCCAAGGAAGTGATACATTTTCTGAAGGGTAGAAAAGGAAACTGAGGGTGCTCTTAGGATCAAATGTCTATCATAGTATTGGTACTGAAAAATAAATATTCGATGTTCTTTTCCTATAATTATATCGTTAATTGTGCACTGAATGGAGACCACATAGACTGAAAGCAATAAAGTTATAAAACCTGGTCTAAACTACAGAGAGCAGCTGTCAAAACAAGGATGGATTCTAAGGGTGTACTGGTTATATATCAGTTAAATTTTCAAATTTAATGTTGCTGAATGTTAACCTTGTAACTCAAGTTGTTACAGGAGAAATGTCTAAAAGGACACTCTGAAGAATTGATATGTTTTCCAAAGATGATTATGCTAGCTGGACTAACTAAAAAATACATTGCTCATTTGAATTTCCTTATTGAATTTATGGTAGTTATTTAGCCATAGGATCCATTGCTTAAGGGTCAAATTACATAGGTTTCCTTCTGGCAGGGAATACGTAGTCTACCATTATTAGAAGGAATAATTCTTTAGATGATTATCCAGTCTGGGAATTGTCTTTGATATTATTTTCCCTTTGACCTTCTTTGGGCTGCAGATTAAAATGGGTGGCCTAATTGCCCTTGTGAAGTACGATATGCAGTTTCTCATAACTATCTCATAACAAAATGTTACTTCTGTTTGGAGATTTTAATTTATCTTGCTGAATTTTCTTTCAACTTTTTTGCCCTTTCTACTTCATCACGGTCTTTCTTCTATATGATTCAAACCTAAAGCATTGGTTTAAGTTCAGAGTATTGCAGAACAGATAATTCATTTCTTGATGTTTGTAATTTGGGAACGTAAATTTAAACATGGTCTCCTCAGTATCAAACCAACATTTGTTGATTATCTGCCATAAATGGACAGATACGTCTGATAAGACTGCAGATAACTCTGCAGGGCTGCCCAGGCTAGGGTCACTCACAGCAGCATAGTTGTCTATGTGTATGTCTATCCATAGTATATGTATAAGATGCAATACATATACAATATAATACATATTATATATGTAGCATGCATATAGTGTATATACATATATGGGCTTTAGAAAAAGAATACATGAGCTCTGAACATTCAAGTGTGAAATATTTAATTCTTGTGGCTTGGAAAGGGAGAAATAGGTGCCTGCAGGTGAGTGTAGTGTGAAAAGAAACTAAGTGGAAGAGCATTTTAGGTAGAACAATATCATCCAGGAGGAAAAGTCATGATAAGTTTTTGAGCACCTGCATACTATCTTGGTGAGGCTTAGAGCAGAGTATATATTAGAGGAGGCAGCCTTGGAAGGTCAAAAACCAAATCTTTGCAAGCACTTGTTCATTTAGTGAAGCCCCTAGTTCTGCCCTTACTGAGGAGCCGTATGATAAGATTTCCGTTTTAAAAAGACAACTGGCAGCACCATTGGTGATGACTCCACTGGCTGAGATGATTACCAAAGGACAGCAGGTCTCCTAAGAGCCAAATCGGTGTGAATCAGAGAATTGGGTATGAGGTATCCATGAAGATGATTCTCAGACATGCTGCAGGAGTACAGTGACTCACAGATCCTTCTCATAGTGAGATCTCAGGAAACAGGAGGGCAGGAGGAAAAACGTAGCATGGATTCAACTGTGGACTCTAGAGACAGGAAGACCTGGCTTTGAAGCCAAACTGACACTGACTAATTAGTTCTGTAACTTTGGGTCAGTTATTTGTTTAATATAACTTAGCCTTAATTTCTCTTCTATAAAATGGGACTTAAACTGGTTCCTAATTTACACAGTTGCTAGGAAAATTAAAGAGATTTGAAGTGTCTTAATCACTTGCATTGCCTTAGGCATACTGAATACTCTGCTAGTGTTATCCATTATCGTGTCAATAATGAATTGTTTCTGTGGATGTTTTTAAAGATTCCCTACTTTCACCACTGGCTAACATGAGATTGTACACACAGAGAGTAGCCAGGGAGAAGTAGATAAATTCTCACTTTATTTTTCAAGTTGCATGGCGTGTCCTCTCCCCAATTCACCATTTGGGGACAGTTCATGGAAAACATAGCCCTGTGACTATGGCACATCACTTTATCTTATCTGGATGTGATCATTTGTTAAACATAGCAAATTAATCACACTTGAGATGAGAATGTTTGTCACCTAGACCCATCTTATATTAAGCATCAATTACTTAGCACTCCATGTAATGGGCAAATAAATGGTTATCATATTATATCAGAAACACAGATAAAGAAGCCAGAAGAAACCAAATTACTCACTAGGGTTCAAAGAGAAAATTAAAAACAACTCAATGTAAGACCTACACTTTTAATAGGGTTTAATCACAAGTTTTCTTCCAAGGCACGAAGATTAATGTTGATATTAAAATCAATATGAAAATAACCCTTCACTACTCATGAAGATATATTTCTAAATTAAACAAACAACAACAGCATACCTTCACTGGCATGTCGGTCTCTAAATATGTTCTTGGGGTGAGCACTGAATCCCTCCATGTCATGGACTGAAGATGCCCTTCTGATACTGCAGAGGCTTTCTCTTGATCTGGAGTGGGTCAGTTGGGAACTTGATTGCAGCATATCAGGGTAGAGTCGGTCCCATTGCCTTTTGGGAGAGGAATGGTCAAGAGGTCCAGATATATTCACCAGGGGAGAACATTTGCTGGGCTGTATCAAGGCTTTTGTGTCATCTGCTTCAGAAGGACTGCAGCTTTCCTTTGTAGGAGACTTAAAGTGCTTCATGGCCACGGAATCATCACTGTGTTTAGATGAATCAATTACGACCACGTCAGGGTCCTCTTGGGGTAGGGACTGCTTTCTGTAAGACAGAACTCTCAGACCAGGGAACTTGAACCCAAAAAGTTTCCCTACAAATGGAAATAGGAAAGAACACATTACAAGACGGTGGGTATATCCTTTAAACAAAAAAACATTGCTGACTCACATGTAAATACCACGGAAAAAGAATTAGTAGTCGATACTTAGTTATTGATTGAATGAGGCATAACAGTTGGGCCCATATGAACTATAAATAGTAAGAAAACCACAAATTATGTTTTCTCTGATGGGTAGATATTATCTCAGTGACATGAATACATTATTTAGATGACAAGAAACTTTTGTTGTTAATAAACTAAAAATATTCATTCACTATACATCTGCTGGTTAGAAAGGAACAGAGAAAATGACACAGCCTAAGTGGAGGAATGAGTGGAGCACGATTCTGCTGTATGTGTGTGTGGTAGGGGTTCGTACGTTGAAAGAGAAAGAGAAGGAAGCAAGAGTGGCCCTCACATTTGGTGAAGGTTTGTGCCGATGATGCTGTAAGCTGAGTTTGGATTGGAAAAACAGGGTCAGCTGTGAGTCAGAGGCTCCTCATGCCTCTTGGAATTCTTGAAAGGTTTTTGGTTTCCAAAGAGGTGTGTGGTAAAGTTAAGAAGTTTCTTTTTCCTGCTTTTTGTTGTTACTGTTGTTTCCATTTGAGAGTTTAACGTGAAATATTATTCATATCTCAAGGTGGATGATGCACAGAAGGGCAGTGAAATGTAAACATTAGAAGGTGGATTAGTTAACAAATATATAGACCTTAGGACAGTCAACAATAAAATATCTGAATAAGCAGGTTGGTAATAAAAATTACAAATTAAAACAAGAGAATATTAGTTGTATACCCTTCTGTTTATCAGTAAAATGAAAAAGTAAAAGCTCCTAATATGTATGGCTCATGACTAAGAGAACTGGTAACCATTCTGGCACTTTGTCGGTGAGCTTGAAAGACAGCTGCAAGTATTTATTACATTTAAAAATATGTTTTTCATTTGGCACAGTAACTCACATATAGGAAACTGCAAAAGCATAAAAACTGAAAACAACCTTAATATCCATTGTAGGAGAATGGCTGAACAAATCATGGCATTTTATATTGTAGAAACATTTGAGACAGTAGTCTTAAAAAGTAAACTTTGTATATCCTTCAATTAAAAAGTAGTTAAAATAGTGTTAAATGAAAAATGTGAATCCATATGTTTATAATATTTTCATTAAAAACAAGAAAAGCCTGTATTTTTATATAAGTTTTATAATAGTAGAGAATAACACAGTGCAAACTTATAGTATTGATTAGCTTAATGGAATAGTTTGGAAGTAGGTTACAGTGTATTGCATATTTCTTATCTATTTCTACTGCTTATTACATCAAGCATGAATTCTTTTATACAAAATAACAACACAATGTAAAATTTCTACAATTCAAAAATATGAAAAGATAAGAGAAAGCATCCAAACAATAATTTCTAATGCAAAATGTCTCTAAGTATTGTTTACAAGAATTCAGCTTTTAAATCCTAATCCTAGGGCATTAAATGGGGCCCATATCATCTCTGGCTGTATAAGTATCTGCTGCTTTCCTAGCCAGTCAGCTTATGTCTTTGGGTTACAATATTTTCTTACATTCTTAAATATTTAGGCATTGTGATCTCTGAAAATATATTTCAAAAGTATTTATCAACTGTTCTTCAGTGAATTAAAGGTGGTTGTAACACTTGGAAGAGAATTCTCAAAATTCATGAACTTTTCTCTATTTTGAATTCATTCTTCCGGTCAAGTCAGTGATCTTGCCTACATAATAGATCTTAGTTCTGCCTTTATCCAATGACTTCTAAGTTTGAATCTTTAAGTCAGACCCCTTCTCGGAGTTCTAAATTTGCATATCTAACGCCATCATTGATATATTCACATAGAAATATTAAAGACACCTCCTAATTTTATAGCAAATGCCAACCTCATAATCTGTCCCTCTAAATTCAGCCCTCCCTTGTGAATGACATTATAATATACCCTGCCAGATAAATTTGAAACTTGAAGGTCATTCTAGATATGCTTCTGTCTTTCACTAATCTTTATATCCAATTGATGTCAGTCCTCTAATTGTGTTCATTATCTCCTGAATATCTTTCTAATGTTTTCACTTCTCTCGTCTCCTCTGCTCTTCCCCATTAAAACTACTCATCTAGTTCTTTGCAATAAAATGATAATGATGTTTCATATTTACATCACAGTTTTCCATCTTTCAAAAATAATTTTTACAATTTAATAAATTCACAACTCATCATGTTTATTGCCCTCCACCCCTGCTTCCTGCTTTGAGACTGAAGACAAAACTATCAGCATCCTGCAATTTGAGATATGCTCCTTGCTTTTTAGACGCCAGTGACAAGACTTTCTCATTGCTCCGGTGGCCTGTGCTTCTTTGAGGCAGGACTTCTTTCTGTTTGATCTTTTCTTTCTGCCTACCAAGCTCTTCATGTAGGCTTAAGGCCCAGTGTTATTTCCCTAGAGAAGATTTTTCTTCCTTCTGAACCAGGTTAGCACCTTTTCATATTTTTCCTCCCTGTTGATAAGTTGTACTCTTACTGATTTTCTGGTAAACATTTCCCTCCCCAATAGGAGTGAAGGCCTTGTACGCAAAGGCGCCAGTCTATTTTGTTCTCCATCCAGCTATTGTCCTGGCAGAATGCCTGAGTATGGTAAATGAATTTCCACAGACAATTTCTAAACTTTACAGATGATGTGTTCCATTTTCACTGTGAATAAAATGGAATATTTCATTGTTTCACATAAATAATCTTAACTTCTAGAACTGTATGTACTAGTAAACCGTATGTTTACTAAAATAACTGATAAAAATTCAATACTCATGGAAGCAGAGAACCCTGTGTTATGTCCTACATACCTCATGCAGCTCTCATTGTTCAAATCATCTTTTTAGAGTTGTGATCTATCATTACTATTCTCATTCTAGAAAACAAGTAACTTCAAGCTCCATATCACCTAGTAAAGTTTGTGTAAAATACCCATTACAGAACATTTTAGTACTAAATATGCTAACTTATTATTGTAAAATTTCAATTTGCAGTCTAGTAGATAGCAGAGTTTAATATAATCAAAATATGGCTTATCTCTCTAGTAAAAGATGACACAATGCAAGGATAAATACCAACTAAATTCACCATTAAATTTTGGATCAGTAAACAAAGGTGAGAGTAACCAATCTGTACAAACAAGATTAAATATCAGTGTATGACAATAATTGTTTTGCAAGGATTCTTACATATTTCTAATAACAGCTTTTATACGCTCATGTAAATTGCTAAGTTAAAAATCACTGAACTGCATCAAAGTCATTTGATTAGTTTTTAATGTACATGAAATTGAGTTTTAAAGTAGTTTACAAATCAATTTTGCAAGCTTATTACAAAGCAGTGAAGGTCAATGACCACTTTTATTCATTCTTTATCAATTACATTACCCTCCTCCTTTAAAAAGTGGTTCACTGGCTTTCTTAGATTAATGACCACACAAGGCATTTAGTTATAGTTTAGTTATATCTGAGGTGGTACAGATGGTCATTTCTGCATCACTAGGCTAATATGACCATGTTATATTGCATTACAGATTTAGTCGTCTAAATGTAGCTCATCTGGAAACAATGCACATTGAGAAATTTGCTCAGTGCTAGCACTTTCAGGCGTGAAACGTAGAAGACACATAAGTGCACGTTTGTTATGGATCTTAACACTAAAAATGTCACTTAAGTAAAGTATCAAATTTATTATGTTTTCTTTTTAAGTTGAATAATTAAAAGAGATACTATTTAACCTCTTATCATCTGAAATTCTCAGTAAATCTCATGTAAGAAAAATAGAATAAGAGTTTTTATAACTTTTATGCATTGCCAGAAAGAACAATAGATAATGATTTACTATTTTCATAAACATCGTGTAGTTTGGACACACTGTTTTTTAAAATCTATAAAAGTATAGAGCTGTTGCCGTTGCTCACATCCAGGAATGTTAGAAACAATTTTTTTTTTTTTCCTTAGGGAAAAACAAATGTTTTGCAGAAATCTACATCTACTTCTAATCATTGAAATTCTTCACAACTGTAAGTTCCCGATCATTTCCTCAGTTCAATTTCTCACCATTTCTACCAACCCTTAACTTTTTTATCATCTAGTAATTTTTATTTTATTTTTATTTATTTATTTTTTGGTACCGGGGATTGAACTCGGGTCCTTGCGCTTGCAAGGCAGGCCACCGAACTGCTGAGCTAAATCTCCAGCCCTATCTAGTAATTTTTCAACCAGTATAAAAGTAAAAGCATTTAACTCTTGGTTTATTCTGCTGAGACGAATTATGGGCTGAAAAATAGAGAAAAAATTAAGTGTGAGTAGTCAGGCAGACTAGAGCTGTGGTGAGGAAAAGAGGGCTTGTTTTGTGTGAGTGTGTGTGGGAGAGGGGTTAAGGGATGCTGGAAAAGCCATAAGCAGAGGTTTCTCCCCCATGAAGGATTAAGGGTAGTCAGAGAGTATCTTCTATTAGATTCCTGAAAATAAACTGTCCAGAAGATTTAACGGGGAGTCGTTTCGGGACACCTATCTATAAGCAAGACAGGCTTGAGAAGAGGGAGCTAAAACTGCTATCTAAATAAACTGATGCTTCAGCAAAGCCTCTGGGAACTTGGAGCTGGAGCAGCCCTTTGGAGTCACTGCTGCTGCTGTTGTAATTGTTCTCATGCCTTACTGTAGCTTTAACTTCCCTTTGACCTCTGTCTACTGCCTCAGGAGTCACATTACATCTGGATTCCAGTGGTTATACTCACTGCTGCTACATCGAAGCCAAAGTATTTAGTATTTGTGTCTTTGCATCATCTGTTTACTGGGTACAGCCACCCCATGGGAAAGGCCAAAACCTAGAGTAAGGCAGTTTTTGCCTTTGATTATAGTTCCTGGGAGGGCAGAAGCTTTGTGCCCACAGCAGTTAATATTTGGAGCAGTTGTGCTGTTCCAGTCCTGAACAAGATGTGTGAG